GAATACAAAGAAATTATTGGTTGTTCGGGAAAATTATAATTAAAATCTCCGCCCACAACATCCACTAGGAGAAACGTAGAAACTTCTGAAAGGTCGTTGTCCTACATACAGGTACCTACTTTCCTAAACTAAATAAACGAATTCGTCGACTTTAATATTCGTTTTCATCATCCAAAACAAACAGTTAATAGAATTGACATTTAGACACGAAAAGCAATCCTGATATTGGCAACGAGGAATAATACTAATAATGGCTGGAGCTGGGTCAAAGAAAATCATATTGAACTGGCAACTTTGTAAGAAAGAAACTTTCTTCAATATAACGAATTATTGGATTCTCCGAAGACGAATAATCATATCGGACTTTTGTTCGAATATATTTTTTCGGTCCCAAAAATTTCGTTCCGGTTTTGATTTGATTTTTGTCCAAATTGAATGATATGCTTTGTGTATAATGCGAGCGTGTATTGAAATGTATTTGACCGATGTTTCACTCGTTTTGTCGTATGAACGCATTTTTGGGTCAGTGATTCTTTTCTGAGAACCTCACGATCTGTACATATGGAAGAATTTTTTGGCGACTGACTATTTTAATGTTGTTTTCAATGATATTTTTTGTATTGTGAGAAGAATAATGTCAAATACAATCTCGAGACTTGACTGTCCATTATTGTGCATTGACTGACTCCTTCGTACTTTAACGAAAATAATAGCTATATTAAAAACATTACTACATACAAAAACCGGAGGCTGAATTACCCCCCTTCCCTTCCCCAATCACCCCAATCCCTGAACAATCCTCTCTAATCCAAACTCCTAATCCCCAAAGGGCCGGTAACGCAGTTGTAACGCCTCTGGTGTTCGAGGAGTCCATGGGCGACGTCGATTACTTACCATTAGGTGATCCGTCTACTCGCTTAACAGCCTATGCAATAAAAAAAACAAAAGCAAAAACTAAAAATTACATGGTGAACTAAAAATAGTACATAAACCAATACACATAGAGAATAATTTACCACGCACTGGTACTTTATTAAACTCTATTAAGATATTAAACCACATTCAATAACAAACCTTTCCTGAATCTAGTTGAGTGTCAACAGCCTTTCTTGCCCTGCAATTAGTTGGCTCTCAATTAGGAAAACTGGGTTACTAGAGTTCAAAGTCCCGTGAACTACGTGAAATTATTCTGCTCATCTCAAATTGATGGACAGATAATACAACGGAGTTTTTGATATTACCGTGTCTGTCAAATTGGGCACGTTGATCTCTTAACATGTCTTGTTCTTCTTTTTCATTTATTTTATATAGAAATTTTACTTTATGTAAATTAATATATAAGATAATAAGAATTATCAGAGACAACCTTAACGAGTATATATGAAGATATTGATAAATGTAAATAAAGCGAAAAAAGGTAAGACAGAATCGTGACATTTGGTATTCTATTGTCTCTGTCTACCCCAATGAGAGGTGGGCGTGACGATATGTATGTATTTAGATAATATATATTAGATTATATACAATAGATGGCTTAGTTAAAAGTCAAGTAATGATTATTTCATTATCATTTTAATTGAAACTTATTAGTTTACTTTAGTTTAGGTACTTTAGCATGTTACCGGCATGCAAAAGTACCTAAACTTAAACTTTTACACATATATACTATAACATTTCGATTGAAACTAACATCTATGTATACATAGAAATATACTATTTTTACACTAGCAAAAATACTCGTGTTCAATAAAATGCTGACGTTCACAATACTCATAAAAATACAAAAAGGTATGGAAAAACTATTTTCATATAGATTATATGAGAATCCTATACATTTAACTATAGCTATGTCTTCCTTATAACAGAAAAGCACGTTTCAAAGAACGTGACTCGTCAGCTACAAGTGTTGTTAAAGGAATAGGACACAGTTTAGCTTCTACTTCCTAATGTTTCAGACCTAATAAAGAAAATTAGATGTGTGTGTTTTTTATGGCATAATCCGGTAAACGAGCAGACAGATCATCTGATGGTAAGCAATCGGCGTCGCCCATGGACACCCGGAACACTAGAGGCGTTACAAGTTCGTTACCGGCCTTTTGGGGATTAGGAGTTTGAGGATCGTTGGGGATTCAGGGATTGGGGAAGGGGAGGATAATTGGGCCTCCGGTAACCTCACTCAAACGACGAAACACAACGCAAGCGTTACTTCACGTCGGTTTTCTGTGAGGCCGTGGTATCATTCCGGTCGTGCCGGCTCGTTCGTGCCGAAGCATGGCTCTCCCACACTTAAAACACTTTAAAATACTTATATATATAAAATATAAAATACTTTCCATACTTCGTGCATATAAACGTTCCTATTTTTATTCTTATTTTTTTAAACGTTCTTATTCTCTAACATATTTATGAACTTAACAATGACAAGGACCAATTCGAAAAGCTGACGGCCAACCTTCACGAATGAAGTGACACCATACTTATGAACCATAAATTAATGCAAGAAATTGAGTAATAAGTTACTAGAAAAGGTGAATGAACTAAGTCAAAATTATAGTACGAAATATGGACACAACAGTAAGTACAAAGGCTTAACAGATAGACGAGTATGTTTATTACAATCCAAACATAGTTTTCTTTGTTAATTGGCATAAGCTTTCTTATTATACAAAGTAATTCAAAGTAAATAGACACATAATCACATAGGTACGACATATATTACATAACATCACGCCTTTTATCCCCAAAGGGGTAGGCAGAGGAGCACATTATCTATGGCACTTAATGCCACTGTACAATGTGACACCCACTTTTCACTTTTTATATTATGAGTCCCATGTAATAGGAATTGAGCTTATTGCCATAATATACCGGGCACAATTCCAGACTCCGTGCTACTACTGACAATTAAAAAAAACCAGTAATACTTTGCCAAATCCAGGAATCGAGCCCGAGGCCCTTGTCCGGCAGTCGCACTTGCGACCACTCTGTGAACTTCAACATCATAGATTACCTATACAAAAAATACTATACCAATAACCTTAATCATAAAAGCCTATTATATTATACTCGTAACAAACAGACCTGTCTAAAAATAAATCTCCAAAAAATACCCAAATAAGGTCAGAGGTCAGAAATTCCTTATACAAATGAAATCATACAGTTATATGTTACTGAAACAGCTCACACGTCACAATCATAAGTCACTCGCACATTATTAACTTGAAACGTTTGAAAGCAATAAATATACTGAAGTCCAAATCTCGTTTTGTGAGCTGAAACAATACTGTAATGGGGCCATGAAGTGAGAGAGAAAAGCTTGTAAAGTTTTTAAAAAAGTATAAAAAACCGATTGTGTAATCGTTCATTAATTTATTACACGATTGCTAAAAAAAAAATATTTGAGGGAGATAAAGTTCGTTCATGAAATATTTTTTTAAACTTACGTAATTGACGAATTCATTTGTGGCAGCACTATGGTTTCGGACATTTTATATGACATAACATAACATCACGGTTTTTATCCCCGAAATGGTCTTTTTTATTTGTTTTAAGGGCGGAAAATCATCGAATGACTGGAGTTTCAGACTTACTGACTAAAAACCACCCCGTTCCTTCTCCTGCACGTCGAGCCGGAGCCCTGGTAACCCGTAAGGTTCTCCGCGACTCCGAAAGGGGTAGGCAGAGGTGCACATTATGCCACTGTACAATGTAACACCCACTTTTCACTATTTATGTTATGAATCCCATGTAATAGGGGGTTATATTGAGGTAGTCCATCTAGAGTACCTGTGCGAATAGCACCTCGAAGTAGTGCTGGGATATACACACTCGTAGTTGGTAAGCAGGACGTTAAATAAAAGATATTGACAACAACTCTAGATGGACTACATCGTTATATGAATTACAAAATAAACAATAGACTAATGTCCAAATAACTCAAGCATTACTCAATTATAAGTCACGCTTAAGTTACAGTTCAATAATTACAAAATCTTTGTAAAATAATAGAATTGGCACAATATTTAAGTAAAACCTAAAATTGAGTAGCCTTTTAGTATACGGGCGAAAGACAGACTATTTAAATAAAACCTTGTTAGAATTGATAAAACATAAAAAAGTTCTATTGTATAAAATGTATTTTCTGTTAATAAATAACCGTCTGATAAATTTTAAAATAACTTTAGTAAGTTTCAAGCGCTATAATAATGTCAACACTGAAAAACCAGAATCGATTTTTTTTTCTTTAAGTTTGAAAATAATCTCTTTAAACAAAACCCCATCTTCACTATAACACAGTTGCTAATAAACTATCTGTGTATTCAGTACGTCAGCTAATTACTAAGCAAGTTTTAATCAACTCAACTATTTTATATGTACGGCTAACATTCCGCTAACTTCGCCGCCCGACACACAAACCGGCAGTATTTAATCAAACATTAACTGTAATTGTATTATGCTTGATTTATGGTCCTGCTGAACCTCCAGAGCCCGTTGAAAAGTTAATCAACTAAAAGCCTTCTTTTAATTCCTAAATTAAGAAACGAGTTTAATTTATGGAGAATTGAACATTTTTTTTTTATCTTAATTAGTCTGTAGTCGGAGAAAAAATTCGGAATTCGAATTCCAAATTCAATTTGTATAACGTTTTTTTTTTAGCACGAGCTCTCTTTTGAAGTTGATTTATTACAAAAAGCCAATTTATTTTATTTTTTCCTTATATCTATCTCTGTGGTTGAATTAATCCCTCGTGCGCGCACAAAATGAAATATAATATCCATACCGCTATTATTAGTCTGAATTGACAATAGTGAGCAAGACCGTACTTATCGGCGGAGCTATATTAAATAGGAACTCATCTGCAAACGTGATGTAAGGCAGAATCTTTTATTACATCCATTCAGCGACATCTTCCAAGTTAAATACGTTTGAAATTACGGGTGACCCAAATACTTGGTCGAGATACCTACATACTGAGATTGTGAAATTTTAAATGTACTCACCAGAGATCCAATAAATGAGCAACGAGACCCCGAACCACAACGTTCCCATCTTCACATAAACAGTCTCATCACTAATGCCGAGACATCACAACACTTCCAAATTCAAATAATTCCCCGCTCACATCAAAACAACGGAGTTCCCATGACGTCACAGCTTCCAGAATGTTCTAACACCTGGAACAAAGAACATAGATTTTAATTAAGGAAGGGTTCGTTCACGTAAATTACGGCAAATATCTTTCGAAAAGCCGGAACTACTTCGGATAAATATTTTAGGGCCATAAAATGTTTGTTCGAAATAGTTTATTAGTTATAAAAGGGGCCTAAAATGTTTATTTTATAACCGGGCAAGGTTGTAGGTTAGTCGGGATTCATTTTAGTGCCTGAAGCGTTATTTACTAGTCCAAATTAGTTAGCATTAAACTCTAGTGAAAATTGTTTTCGGATACACTTCGACCTTTTTTGTAGCTCTGTGAAAACTTTTTTGTGAACATACTAATCTGAGTTTTATTAGGATGACTATTGTTTTATTCTAAGTATTAGTGTTTTTCAAACAATTAATTATTATTGATTTTAACTGTGAACTTACTTAACACGTTATTATATTATAAAACCCGTATTTCCAAGTTACAACATATTCTCAAAAAGTAACGCATAAAATTAGAACACGTATATACCTCTAATATAAAGTTTACAACTGGCTTCGACTACGGCGTAGCTTCCGCTACGGCGTAGACTTGCTACGGCGTAGCCACCGAATGTATGTAAATGTCAAAGTTGAGAAGTTCCACTCAAAGCGAAGTATAAGTATGTGCCCAATTCCGTTGGACCAGCATTTTTGTCAATAGCACCTATTTAATTGGGTACTGAAGATACGGAAATTGACCCGGATCGTACAAATGTGACGTGAAATGTACGTAAAATGTACTGTGCTGACTTTTATCACATAGATTTATATTTAGTTTGAGTATAGTCCAGCGAAACACTGACAGATTGAAGTAAAGATCGGTCGAAAGTCACGTCACTGCGCGGGTTAAGTACTAAAAATAGACAACCTAACTTTATCATCTTCAATGAATCTCAAAAAAATATTAAAATCCCCATTTAGAACCAACAGTTACCTGGAACCGTAATAAAAAACTACTGCCTACTTAAATAACCTTGCCAAGAAACTGTATAGTTATAATTAAATTGTCTCTCAAATGGCCAAAGATCTTGAGTACTAGATTAGTTCCTATAGCAAGACTACTTAGCTTATTTAATTAATACCATTTCCAGTACCAAAATACCTAAGTTCCGTTTTTCCACGACCTGAGCCTGAAACGAAACTGTTTTAGACAATTTAACAACTCTCGATAAGTGAAATTAATATTGAGTTGAGAATTAAATTAACAGAATATTAACGTTAAGTAATTATGAAACTTATTTTAGGTGTTTGTTGAAGTAAAACCTTTATTTATACTTGGAGTTTACAGGGAAATGCTTTAAAGGAAGAAGCTAAGTTAGCTTAGCTAAGTTATAAATACTCGGATTAAATGGCTATTACTTAAACTACGCTTTACTTTAAGCTGATTAAAATATCTTACATAAGAGCAAGTAACTATTTTTACCCGACTTCAAAAAAAGGTGGTGGTTCACAGTTTAACCTGTATGTCTGTATGTTTGAGTGCAAATATCTCGCGATTAGATGAACCGATTTTGATAGGGTTTCTTCAAAAGTGTTTGTTATACTTAGGAGAAGATTTATACACTTACGTCCGAATACTGAAAGATTACTCTATTGTAAGTTGTACTTAAATATCGTGCCATCTCTGTCATTTTACAAAGTATTTGTAGTGACAGAACTATTACTTAAGCGCAACTTAAAATTGAGTATCCTTTTAGTATTCGAGTATTAGTACATTAATTGGTCGACGGCGAAAAAAGAGGGCGTTGAAGTCGGTTTTATTAAACGTAATTTATTTAAGAATTTTTAGATCGCAGTTTTCAGATTTGAAACTTATAATTAGAAATTATAAGCCTAGGTTTCTTTACGATGTTTTTTTTTTCACCATTTGTCAGTGGTGTTTGAATAATCATAGAAAGTACATGTAACTCGGAAAAAGTCACATTGGTACTTACCGTTTGGTAGGTTTCAAACCTGCACTCTCATGTATCAAATGTTACATTCCTCATTAATTTTTATATTCGTAATACATTAGAGCTAGTATTAAAAAAAATCACTAAAATATTTTACGTAGCACGGCATCCCAGTACTCGTACGTAAATGATTGATCACCACGCCCCAAGCGAGTGATAAAAAATGTACCCTCACTAACCTTTCAAGGAAACGTTAGAGCATTGAAGGAAATCAATTTAATGGTTACCCGCCAGTGTAATCGATGTTTGTACGAGGAGAATATTTTCATATCATTTTTTTCGTTTTAGATATTACTAGTTCTGTATCTATAAACAATATTAAGAGTTGCTATTATTACCATTTAAGTAGACAATGTGGCTACGATTGCAACCGTCAAATGACGATACATTTGTATGAGTAGTGAGTGACATAACGTTGCTGCTTTTTGGACAATTTTCATTGGTTCTAGGCAATTTGCAAGTATTTGTGATTCCTTGGCCGCCTATTGTCATTTGTAAGTTGCAGTATTTGTATAATGACGCGTCATTGGATCTTAGTCTGCGTTTGATCTCGAAATAGTTTTATAGTAGGTTATTGAAAAAGAACAATCAAATTTTGTTCCAGAAATAAAAGCGTCATATTTTGCTAAGCTAATTTTATCATGATAACGCCCAAATGTTAACTTAAAACACACGCAATATACAAAACGCGACTATATGACACACTGAAAGAAAACATAAATTACATTGGCATCACTCAGTAAAGAAAACAGCAACGTTCTAGATACAGCTATCGCCTCATCGTGTACATAAACCGTATTGTTTACCTCGAAATCGATCAGTTAACGGGTAATAAACGGCAACAACTACCGTTTACGACTTACCCGGATCTACATTCGGTTAATGGCGAACTACCCGACCTTATAATGTAACTCTACCGACCACTTGACAAAGACTCCTGCGAGTCGAACTGTCGACAATAAAGCAACCGATATTGAGTCCACACAATACCCGGGTCGGGCATAAAAACCGGGTATAAACCGGTCATAATGGCCGGAAAAGTTAATTAAATAGGTCCGTTAGCTGGCACGACATTTTTCAATCGGTCGTTGAGTGATGCCTGAATGCGGACTCCGTGGATTGTGGACCTTTGCGGTTTCTTTAGATAATTGGACCCGCTCGACTTCGATGTTATTTCAATATGTTTAAACCCTTCCGGCTATTTTGCTGCTATTAAATTCTTTCCTTGATGAAATTTTTAAGGCCTCCATTGTTTTATCATCATCGTTCATCGTTTTTGTTGTTGTATAATTCACGTTCCAATAAATGCTTTTTTGTAATAATAATTGAATAATTTCTAGTTTCTTCTTGTTTTGTGTGGAATGCTACAATAGTCGATAATGGTCACTGTCTTAGAACAATTTCAGCTGGGCCATTACTTAAATGAAATAATTACAAACATATAACATGTCTTAATTAAACAAACATCCTATACATGCATTTATACATACATACTAAAAGAATATGAATAAAAAAATACCCCTTTGAATAAACCAGTATTCAATAACAATAATCAAAGAAACCGATTCAACTTTTAACTTTGAACGCTCACAAATGGACAAAGTAATTAAAATCCATTTGACATCGATCCTCGTTGCCCGCGGCCATGCTTCCGATCCTATCGAAGGCAAGAGACCAATAATATTTTTTATAAGGAATCTTGAACTTTATTGGGTAGATTAAAAGCTTTGGAGCAGTTCCCGAACGCGCTTGACCGAACACGAATATCGGGCCAGTTTTAATAACAGTATTAGGTTTTATAATTTTTTATACGTTTTCTGATGCCAGCGATATTTGAGTACTTTTGTGACGATACTACTAGACGCTTTATGAGTCATAAAATGGAAGAGTAAATGATCTAGTGTTGGCAAAGATGACTGCTCAGTTCTAGTAATATCAAGTTACTAGATTTCAAAAATCTATGGGATAAACAGTACGACTGTTACCAATAGGAGTTTGTGGATCTAATTTAGGGTTAATGATATATTCAATTGAAATATATGACATTTTATTTTGCCTTATTTATCATATAACGTGCTTAAAATTACTAACAACATAACGAAAAGGGTAAAAAAATCCTATAATATTATTGAGTGGTATACGGTTGACCCAAATACTCAGTAGATGCAACTTGATAATATTTCCACGCCTTTTTATAAGCAGAACGTGTCATGGTTTCTAATGGTATCAGCTTAACGAGTAGCCAATAGCACTGTTTAATTGTTGTTACTTAGTTTTCTATGTAAAATAATGTTGTTCATTTAAAAACAATAAAAATAAGATTAATAGAATCTAAAGAACTCGTTCCATTTTCAACTCAATCTTGAACGACCACAAACGGACTTCAAATACCAACAGACAAACCACAACAATGCCATCTTCACTTCAGCCTCATTTTTCTCCCACTTAACCAGAAGTGCTGACAAAAAGCGCATTCCTAAAACCGGCGACTTTCAAGACCTTTTAGTCATACTTCAAAGCTTTGATGCACCTTCATTTAGCTTCCCTAACTAGGGTAAATTGGTAAAGAGCAACCCTCTATGTTTTATACCTGTGAATAGTACGGCCATGAATGTCACTCCCTCATTGACCAAACTCTTTTCTGAACTTCATTACATCTTTTGCTTTAGAATCTTTTTAAAAGACTGTCGTAGGTTCTTTATTTAGATGGTAGTTTTAATAAAAAGGGGGAGTTTTAATTAAAATCTGTCGCTGCGGTCTTGTGGTGGGAGGGTCGATGGACTGAGGTTGTGAGTTTCAATCCTTCACCTTTTTTTTCAGAATAATTAATATCATTCCTTCTCCTTGGGTGTCAGGGAAATTAGCAATAATTTACTTATTTTATTTTTAAAAATTATATTTTATTTATTATAATACTAAGTCCCTAAAATGCATAATAAATATGCAAATCAATTACAATATATTTATTAAAAACAAATTTGTAAGGAATTTCGTGGATGAATAACGAGTACCACATCGGTGTCGTGAAACAAGTG